CACCCCGGGCATGTGTGTGTGTGTGCCCAAGGTTTCGAGAGGACAATGGAGGAGAAGGAATTGTGGCATGGCCATACCCCTGGGGGGGGGTGTGATTTCTCGCTTTTTGTCTCTCTCTCTCTGTCTTTCTGGCGAGTGCACGCACCCTATAGCAAAAACCTCTCAAAAAAAAAAAAAAAAAGAAAAAGAAAGGAAGAAATGAAATAGAAAGTAAATGTATTATACAGAACATAAATGAAAGTAAAAACTGGTTCTTTGAAAAGGTAAACAAATTAATTTTTTGTTTATTCATTTATTTTAATTTGGCCAGGGAGAGACACAGAGAGAGTGAAAGTGAGAAAGCAAGCCACCAGGTCCAGGCAAACCACGGTTGGCCGTGTGGTGGTGTCCAGCACCTTAACCACCACAACACCTGTTGGTCCTGAAAAGGTAAATAAAATTGACACACCACTAGCTAGACTAATTAAGAAGAAGAGAAAGGAACCAAGTATTTCCAATTCACAATGAAGCAGGCAATATAACAATAGACATAACAGAAATGCAAAACATCATTAGAGGATACTATGAACAACTATATGCCAACAAACAAGAAAACCTGGATGAGATGAACAAATTCCTGGACACATACACTCTACCAAGATTGAGTCAGGAGGACATAGAATGTCTGGATAGGCCCATAACAAGCCATGAGATTAAATCAGTAATAAATAAACTTCCAAAAAAGGAAAGCCCTGGTCCTGATGGCTTTACCTCTGAATTCTAAAATATTTTAAAGAAGAGTTAACCCACATTCTATTCAAGTTATTTCTAAAGATCTAAAAGGATGGAACTCTCCCAAATTCATTCTATGAAGCTTCCATCACCCTTATCCTTAAAACAGACAAGGGCATCAAAAGGAAGGAGAACTATAGATAAGTATCTCTAATGAATATAGACACAAAAAATTCTCAGGATACTAGCAAATTGTATCCAACAACATATAAAAAAAGGTTATACATCACAACCAAGTAGGCTTTATTTCAGGGATGCAAGAATGGTTCAGTATATGTAAAACCATAAATGTAATACACTATAATAAGTGGAATAAAGATAAAATCCATATGATCATACAAATTGATGCAGAAAAAGCACTTGACAAGATACAATATCCCTTCATGAACAAGACTCTCAGCAAAATTGGCATAAAGGGTCATTCCTTAACACAATAAAAGCTATCTATGAAAAACCCTTAGCTAACATTATGCTGAATGGGGGAAAGCGGAAAATTTTTCCACTAAAAACTGGTATAAGACAAGGATGACCACTTTATCCATTCCTTTTCAATATATTACAGGAAGTCCTCACCAATGCAATCAGAAAAGAGAATAAAATAAAAGGCATTCAATCAGAAAAAGAAGCAAAATTATCTCTATTTGTAGATGACATGATTGTATGCATAAAAGACCCAATGGTATTCATGAAAAAATTCATGGGAGTAATAAATGAATAAAGTTTCAGGATACAAAATCAACATACAGAAATCTACAGCATTTCCATATACAAACAGCAGGCAGACTGAGATAGAACTGAAGAATGTAATTCCATTTACCATAGACACAAAAAGTATAAGATAACTATGAATAAATCTAATCAAAGAAGTTAAAGACCTCCGTGAGGGAAACTATGAGAATCTAAAAAAAGAAATTGAAAATGACACAAAAAAGTGGAAGGACATCTTATGTTCCTGGATTGGAAGAATTAATATAAACAACATGGTAATTCTACCCAAATATATATATATAAAAAACCTCATACTGCCAAAGCAATCCTGCACAAGAAGAGTGGAGTGGGCGGCATCTCACTCCCTGACCCAAAAATATACTATAAAGCTGTGATAAACAAAACAGCATGGTTTGGGCACAAAAACAGACATGTGAACCAATGGAACAGAATAGAGACCTCAGAAATAAACTCCCAAACATACAGCCCATTGTGATTTTTTGACAAAGGGCAGCAATCCAGTAGGAAAAGGAAAACCTCTTTAACAAATGCTGCTGGAAAAACTGGATGGCCATCTGCAGAAATATGAATCTAAATTCTTATCTCTTTTTATTGACAAAAATCAATTCAAAAATGGATCAAAGATCTAAACCTAACACCTCAAACTATAAAACTACTGGTGGAAAAAAATTGGGGAAACACTGGGAGACGTTGGGGTAGCCAAAGACATTTTAAATAAGACCTCCAAAGCACACTCAATAATCGCAAAAATAGACAAGTGGGATTAAATCAGATTAAGAAGTTTCTGCATGGCAAAAGACAAAGTAATTAGTGTGTATTGACAGCTCTTAGAATGGGAAAATATTTTTTTGGAAATATGCTTCAGATAAGGGACTGATAACCAAAATACACAGGGAACTCAAACAGCTTACCCCCAAAAAGATGATCAACCCAAATAAAAGATGGACGAGTGAACTGAAAAAACAACTCTCTAAAGAAACTCATGTGAATAAGCCAAAAAGGCATATTGTGTAAAAGAATGTGTGAAAGAGGAACTCCCCTACACTGCTGGTGGGAATGTAAGTTGGTCCAGCCACTAGGAAGAACAATATGGAGATTCTTCTAAGATCTACAAATAGAACTACCATATGATCCAGCAATCCCACTCCTAGGTATCTACACAAAAGACAGAAGAATGCTTAGAGATAAGTGCTTGCACATTCATGTTTATTGTGGCATTATTCACAATTGCTAAGACATGGAATCAACCCAAATGTCCATAAACAGAGGAATGGATTGGAAAAGTGTGGTACATACACTCTATGATGAAAAAATGGAGAAGGGACTGTGGCATGACTATGCCCCTTGGGGGAAGTGCTTTGTCCCTCTCCCTCTCTCTCTGTATCTCTGTCTCTCTCTGACAAATGTAGCTGCCCTATGACAAATTTATTTTTAAAAATCATTATGATCAGAAGACATAGTAATTCTGAACTTATAGAGACTGAATAATAATACCCTTAAAAAGATACATGGCAAAAGTTAATCACTTAAGGATTAATTTAATAGTTCATGTTAAAATGAGTTATTTTAACACACCTTTCTCTCCAAAAGCACTCTCTTTACTGGCACTGTGCATTTGCTGTGTATGAGACTAAGTTCCTTCCCCCTATCTGCTGATTCTCACCACTCAGCTCATGTCCCACTTTCTAAAGAACCTGCTACACATTTCCATGAATGTTTGTCTGGCTTATTTTGTCCTTTATGTTTAGTGATGTGTAGAATAAAAAGAGCCCATAAATATATACATAAATCCAGAGTCATTTGTAAATTTTTACACATATCATAACATTTAAGGAATAAAATGTTCTACTACATGGACTTTTTTAGGTGTGATTAAAAAAAAAACAGAAAATATACCATTTAATGACTCTTAATTGCATAGATAGTAATATCAAGTATATTTTCACTGTGGTGAAACAGACTTACAGAACTTTTTCATATTGTCACCCTAATCCCTGATTACCACCATTCTATGCTCTGTTGCCTGAACTTAACCACAACAGATACTCCACATAAATGAAACATCCAGTATGCATTTCTGTGATGAGTTTCTTTCACCTAACACAATGTCCTCAAGTTCCATCAATGCTATAGCATCTGACAGAATTATACTATGCACATTTTAATTAATTTTTGCTTGTTTTGCCTTAGGGTGCATGCACTCATGAGAGAGAGAGAGAGAGTCAGAGTGAGGGAAAGTGACAAATCATCCCCAGTGGGATTGTCATGCCACAATCTCTTCTCCCCCATTTTCCTCCTGGGATCTTGGAAACACATGCATATGTACCTGGTGTGATTTTTAAGCCACTGGGTCTAGGACTTAAACCACAGTGGGCCATGTTAGAATCCACCACCATAACCACTATGCCATCTGCTGGTCCCATATGCCTTGCACTTTTTAATGTATCTAGAGTTTTCATTTTTTGGAACGGTAATTTTCTTAGACATTTTCATTTTTTTCCACTAATTCTTATCACTAGTAATATGCTTTGTTTGTATTTACGTTGGAAGAGTATTGCTCACAACATATTTTTATTGATTTGCTGAATATTCTTGACAAGAAGAATGGAATATAGCAAAATTAATGCAATGCAGATGTTTGAAGTGAAAAGAGAATAGTGGTGATTTGTCCTTTTTTTAATATATGAAGGTTTTTTAAAAAATAATAAAATGCTTTCTGTTTTTAAAAAGTAGTGTTACCTATTTATTCCATGATTTACAGGCACTCACAGAGAGACAGAGAGACAGATAGACATTGAAGTAGCATCCCCAGCAAAGTCTTAATGCTGTGATCCATACCCACCTTCAGCCAGCCACAGATTATGGGCACAGGGATACCTGGTGTACTCATCAATATACTATATGAAACTATGTTTTTAATTTAGTTTATCTGTTTCCCCTCTCTAGAAGGTAAACTTAATAAAACAAAGCCCTAGGCCAGCAAGTGGTATGGTGATTCAGGCATAGGATTCCACATGGGTGACTCTCTGGTTCAAGTCTCAGACCCAGCTCCTTGAAAAACATACAGGGTTCCTGTGCATGTGTTCTCCAAATCCCAAGAGGATAATGGAGGAGAAAGCATTGTGGAGTGGCCATTTCCTCTAAGGGGTGATTTCTCACTTTCTCTCTGCATGTACTCTATTTAAAAATCTAAATAAAAGAAAGAAATAAACAAGAAGCCATTTTTCTGTCCAGTTGTTCACAGTCGTTCTATTTCTAAATCAGGCAAATACTTACAGAGTTACTGAATGACTGAATGTATATAATGTTGATTATTCTATTACACTTATAAAAATAATACAGAGAAAGTATTCTATATTAAGAATGTAATTATATATATGTGTGTGTATATATATATGCATATATACACATAAACATACACACACACAATATTTTTACACATGTATATGAATAGGTAAGTAGGTAGATAGGTAGATAGAGTTATTATTTCTACTATTTACCTTTCCAAAAATGCTTAACCTTTTGGAGTCAATGTATGGCTGTTTCAGTAAAAATCTGCAATAAAAAAAGAAAAATATATTGTTGTATTGTCTCAAGTCAAATATCCCTGTGAATTTATACTTGGCACACACACTAGTAAATAAAAATCGGCAACTAGAAATTTACTTTAGTTCTATTAATGTGGAAGAGCTATATATTTCAAAATCTTGCTACTCAAACCAGTGATGAATCAGTAGTTTGGTACCACCTGGGAATCTGCTATAAATGCAATACCTTGGGCCCATTCTAGGCCTAATGAATAACTGTCTATATTTTAATAATATCCTAGCTGCTTTCCATGTACTGTTGTAAAGGATCTGCTAACTTTCTTAGGTCACATCTTCAGGAGAGTGGGGAAATGGTATCTGTGAAACTCTAAGAATTGTAATTAACTAGAGAACAAATAGACAATGTGTTTTATTGTAAGCAGATAATGCAGTGGTATAATTAAGATATTTCCATTTTCATAAAAGTAAAATGAATTTTAATTCAAGGAGAGAGATATGATTACTTTAATATGGCGCCAGAGTGATAGGTACAGTCGTTCTTCATTATCTGTGAGGAATTGGTTTCAGGACCTGCTGTAGGAAGCCAAATTCATAAATACTCAAGTTCCTTTTATAAAATGGTATAATATTTACATATAACTTATACACATCCTCCTATATACTATAAATAATTTCTTAATTACTTATAATACCTATTACATTGGAAATGCTAAATAATAGTTGCTATATTGTATTTTAATTTTTTTCTTCTTTTTCATTTTTCCTTCTTTTTCCTCCTTTTAAAAGTTTTCCAGAATTTGTATGTGTGTTTCTATGAGAGAGACAGAGAGACAGGATGAAAGAGATAGAAAGTAAGAAAGCACCTCGCATGGGGGATGGTCACACTGTAACCTCTTCTCCACCACTTCTCTTTTTGAGATTTTGCACATGTACACACACGGGCCCAGCATGTCTTTCAAATCATCAGGTCCAAGACATGGCCATATGAGATCCAGCTATCTTAACCGACAGCTGCTATAACCACCAAACCACTAACTGATCCTACTATTTATTATTATTTTTCAAATATTTTCAATTCACAGTTGGTTTAGTCTGTGGATATGGAACCTTTAGATATGAAGGCCAACTGTGCTTGGAAAAGCAATAGGTTACATAACTAACTTTAAAAAGTGGTGGCTTGCTTTCTCATTTTCTCTCTTTCTCTTTCTTTCTTTCTCTTTCTTGTGTGTGTGTGTGTGTGTGCTTCTCTCTGGTTAAATCAAAATAAATGAATCAACAAATAAAATTAAATAAAACTTTAAAAAAAGTAAGACGTGCCCAATTACTAAAATTACTCTGAGTCAAGATTAATATTATCATGTGCCATATACCTAGATAGTGTCATTATAGAGAAAAATAGTAGAAAACTGAGCATCAACTTACTTCACAGCTGCCATTTGGTCCTTTACTTCTACTGAACCTAAACTTCGGTGAATCTCCTGCAAAATCTTCAGGCCCTGGAATCCACTTCCTCTGCCATCGAATCTTGCTACAATGACGTTATCCGTGTCAATGAGTACAGAATCCCAGTCAATATGAAACTTCTCTGAAACTAGCTGGTTTCCTGGTTCTTCATCCCTGCAAATACCAACATATTGGACCAACGAGAGTAACTGATAATTTGGTAGAAATTTTAACTTTCACACTTACTAGTTAACAAAAGCTATAGAAATGACCTGCGTTGGCTATGAAAAGTTTTGTTAATTCTTGACAATAAACCTGAAATTGAAAAACATCATTTTCTTTTGCTAATTTTTAAATAAAAAGGTTTTTAAATTAAATAATAATATGTCTTAAAACTGTGCAAGTGGAGATTAAATTAACTCATTTTTCAAAGAGAAGAAATGAAAAATACACGGCACTTTTCATAGGCTTTTCTAAAGAATCATCATCAATTTGACATCAGGTCTATCTTTATTGGATTTCTTCCAGGCAGTGTGTTTTACAAATGTCTTACAGATGGTTTGCAAGGTTTGAAAGGTCTGATAGAAAACAGAACCAATAATGTAAACTTGATCATAATTTAACATAAAATGTACCACCCTAAAAAATGTCACTCAAAAAGAAATATTGCATTATCACTATTTTCTGAATTGTGTTTGTGTGTGTGTCTGTACATTCATGTATGTGTGGTGAAATTCTTACTGAGGAGATTTTAAGCAAAAAATGAGAAAGATTATTTTTTATCACTGAGGTTGACAGCAAGAAAAGGAAGCAAGGACACATGTGTTTGAAAGATTGGAAAGCTAAAAGTAAGAAAGGACACACACGTTATAAAGTATAAACATTCTCTCTTAGAAGTAAAAGGTGATACCATTTTAAGATGTCAGGTTAAAGTGGTACTTGTCATTTTATTTTCTATAATACAGAAATAGTAAAAAGGAGACTCTCATAAAATCACACAGATTATCTATGTCCAAGCCTAGTTATAATTTAAACAGGTGGTTGTTTACACAATAGATCTTAAGAGCATCAAAACATCTGACCCTGAAAAGATCTCCTGTGTCAGTTGGGCTAACACTCAGAAATGCCACCCTACTCATTCTTCAAGGTCCAGATGGCAAACTCTCTTGTGTTCATACTTATACAAATGTGTATCTAGGAGTTCCAATACAAAATCAGTCTTCATTAATGAGCCTTTAGGTAATCAGATCTGCTAAAGCTAATATCCTCTGTCAGAAACAAATGGAACTGGGAACCAGCAGTTAGCATAATGGCTATATTGCTGGACTCCTACGTAGTCGACCGTGGTTTGCCTCCAGGACCCGGTGGCTTAAAATTCACACCGGGCGCATGTGCATGCGTGCCCAAGATCCCGAGAGGAGAATGGAGGAGAAGGGATTGCAGCGTGACCATCCCCCCTCGGGGGTGATTTCTCGCTTTCTGTCTCTATGTCTCTCTCTGTCTGTCTGGCGAGCGCACGCACCCTATAGCGAAAAAAAAAAAAAAAGAAACAAATGGAACTGAGCAGATATAGGGGTTGAATGGAGCCAGTAAGGCAGGTAAAAGAGTAAGTGGAGAATAGGGACAAAATACCAAGTAAGGTAAATTTACTGAGTGCTGCTATGGATTCAATTGTGCACTTCTAAAATTCATATGCTGAATCCTTACACTAGTGCCTCAGAATGTGACTGAATATGAGGCAGAACCTTTGTAGAGACAATTCAGGTAATGTAAGGGCATCAGGATGGGCCCTATTCCAATCTAACTGGTTTTTTTACAACAAGAAGAAATCTTGACACACAGGTGACCCCAGTGATGCACATACTTGGTGGAACAACTTTATGAACAGACAGTAAGAGCATGGCTGGTTGCAAGTCAAAGAAAGAGGCTTCAGAAGAAACAAAGCTGCTAAAACCTTCATCTTTGGCTTCTGGCCTCCAGAACTGTGAAAAAAATTAACTTCTGTTGTTTGAGATACATAGTGACATTTAGTTATGCCAGTCCTAGGAAACCAATGAAAATGCCTTCTGTTGACTAAGCACTTAAGATCCCTTGTCTGATTTACTTTATACTACCAAAATTTAATTAACTTCTTTGAAGAAGAATTTGTCTATTACATGGCTTAGAACACATCCTATAAATAAATAAACATTGTAAATAAAGAAACTGTGCAATGGAAATTATTTAATCACATTCCCTCTTCATTTTCTCCTATCTTACACATTTAATGGTGATTTTGTGATTCAAACCGAGATCTGCCTTGGCCTTCCACAGTTTTTGTAACCTAAGTTTTTTTGCTTTTTGTTTTTTTGTTTCTTATTTTATGTTAGTTTTTGTAATCTAAGCTTCTGATCAGATAATTAGGAAATTTGTTACTACACATATATTTGTTTTCTAAACTAGAAATCTAATTGTTTTATTCAGACCAAACTCTGGAATTGCAGTGTTTTCAGTTCCCCAGGTAACACTGACATAGCTTATCCAACATGTGAGAACTAGCATGCCTAGCACAGCTTCTGATGGTAGGCAAGGTCAATGCTTGTCGAAATAGACTTTTCAAAGAAAATAGACTTAGATAAAGTTTAAAATGGAAAGACATAAAAAGACTTGAGTTTACACAATGACCCTTTATTTTGATGCTTGGGAATTTACTGCAAATATTGTGATTCACAGAAGCCAAGACAACAAAGATTAATTTCAACCTTTAATATGAAGCCGAGTAAAAATATCAAAGTTCGAGCCAACTTTACTCTGAACATATGTAAGATCCTCAATTTCTAACAGTCAGGCATTTTTTTGTCTATAATACTGTAAAATATTATCCTGTCTTCTTCAAAGAGATATTGCAAGCATAAAAATCATAATTATTTGAAAATATGTTACAGAATACAATGGGGAAAACTATTATTAGATTTATAGAATAAAAATATTTCACCACCTGGCTTGAAGCCAATTATTTTTTATGTTAAGCATATTTCTCTACAGTTAAAAATGAAGATTTCAGAAGTATTTTGATTAGTTGTGCGGAAATTGCACTGGGCAATATCTATGTAAAACAGCACAATGGCTAGGTTGTATGTGCTATTATGTCAGAGAGACTCCAATTTTTCTAGAAGAATCAATAATATCTAAACCCTTTCAGCAGTACAAAAACAGTACAATCAATAGACATTTTAGTGTGCTTAGCAAAGTTTTGTCAGATTTTAAGGTGGGACTGTCCAGCTTGAAACTTTGGTAGCGGTTCTAAGGTAACATAAAATGTGTTGTTAATGGCCCAGTTGATAGCATGGTAGCTGAGATGGCTGGATCCCACATGGCTGACTACATTTTGAGTCCTAGACCCAGTAGCTTGACAAACAGGCTAGGTATGCATATATGTGTACCCAAAATCTCAAAAGGAGAAATGGAGGAGAAGGAATTGTGGCATGACCATCCTCCATGGGGGCTGTTTTTTCACTCTCACTTTTCCATCCAGAGGGATGAAGGGGGAGGAGAGGAATGAGAAAGCACCTGCTAGCAAATTAAATATATATATATATTTTTT